CAAAAGCCTTAAGCACCGGAGAAGTAGAGCACCCTGGGCCTCTGAAGATAAGATTTTCCACTGCCTGATTGTTGCCCCACCTGACCCAGCACACAGCGCATATCTCGCCATCTTCTCCCCTGAAAAAAAAAACCATTGCGCAAACGCCATATGCACCACAAGGTAGCCGATGCGACAATATTAATAGCTTCACACTATTTTTTCTTCTTCCAAAAAGAAGCCAAAGATATAAAGGATACAGGAGGGGTAATGCCAAGCGCTTCGGCAATCACAGCCCAGGTGTTAGATGCAACAATGCAATCAAACAGAAGGTGTTGGATAGATTCAGGTTCGGCACAGAAAACACAAGTTTTATCCTCTACATGTCTTCTTTTGGCAAAATTATCTCTAGTCAAACTTTGTTGTTATACATCAGCCATAAGAAAACATGGATATTTGGAGGGACTTCTATTTTCCAAATAAAATCTCTAATATCAGAAGTAATCCCACCAAAGTTAATCATCTTATAAAACGACTTAACAGAATATCGACCATTTGATTCCAGGCCCCAGACGGGGCTATCTGGTTGATCAGAAAGGCTAGTTTATTTAACCAAGGCAACTAATAAGTCCCACTTGTGTAACATAACCTCGTCCACACATCTCCTGAAGGTGAGACACAGGTGCATCCCATCCCAAACCTGGGATAGAGTAGCATCCTGCTGATGACATATATCATATAAATCCCAAAAGGCAGTTTTCAGAGAGCATCCTCCAACCCAATTATCATGCCAAAAGGCAATGTTATCCCCATTCTCAGGATTCCATCTCCAAAAATTTCTGGCAGCAGGAAAAGCCCAGGAAATGCTTTTCCATAAAGGAGATCCCAAGGCAGGTTTAGCATAAAAATATTAGGCTTATTAGTAGCATATTTAAAACAGAGAAGTTTTTTCCAATCCCCCTCTCTTCCATCATAGAATCTTTGCCCCATGAAGCCAGGAGAGCCATATTGAACTCCCTGAGAAGAGTCAGCCCCACCAACTTGCTCAAAGCCCTCCACAGTAAAGCCCAGTAAAAACAACTTCTTCTTCATCTCAATGAGCATCTCAAATGGGATCTTTGTGGGGTCCCCGCAAGCAATTTTTATTCTAACATTCTCAAAGAAAGTCCTAAACATGCCATTCCAGTCTACATCAGTCAGTATCCCGTACAGAGAAGTAATCTGAGCAAAAACTTTCCATGTAGACCCTTTAGGAGGAATCCCTTCAATCAGTACCCAAGCCTCAACAAGTTCTCCAAAAGGTTCACATGCCCCCTTCCACTCAGTAAGTGTAACAGAAACATCTTGAGGCAGTGAGAACCCAGGTAGCTCGATGAGATCCTCCACTTTCTTCTATGGTGGAAATCTCACCAAGAATGTCTTGCTGGATAATCCCCTGATCTGTCAAGGCTATTGTCTAGTTTTACAGAAAGTAGCTGTCAAAAGACTTAACAACAACTCCTTGTCCACATCACCTTTGAGAATATTGACTACAACACAATTTTGAAAGTTCAACCAGTTGGATTCATTAGCAACTAGGACATCCACATGGTAGAAACCAAGACCACTTGCTCCACTGCCAAAAAAGGCAGCAGTTGGTTGAACCCTAGTCCAGGCAGCACAATTGTTAACATTGTGATTCTGCTGACATATAAAACATGTTTTCGACTTGATACAATTTCCAACATAATGCCCTGGACCACCACAATTGAAGCAGATCATGTCCTTATATCTAGGATCTAAAACTTGCTCCATCTCCACTTCTACAGATTGAGAAGACCGAACCTGAGACGAAGCAGCCGTAGAGGCTGTGGATCTGGTAGGCTTTGCTGCTCGCACCGGCTCCTTCGAGGTTGGGGCAGATGGCTGCCTCCTCCCTCCTTGCGGGTTGACTCTCTGAGCAGCAGCCTTTGAGGGGCCACCAGCTCCAGATCCCGCACCAGCAACCCTTCGGTCAGACATCGCTAACCCTTGCTTCACAACTGCCGCAAAATGAGAGAGATCCAGGGCCCAAACCCTCCCTCGTAACCTTGATGGTTCTTGGAGTCGGATCAAAAGCACGACAAGGCGCAGGATGACAGTCAGCGGCTATAAACGAGCGAGAGGAAATCAAATCCTTCTGGATCCATCAAGTGAATCCAGAGGGAGGGGGATTAACACGAGGGGGTGGTGGTAGAGGAGGTAGGCGGCGGCGGGGAGGGGATGGGATAAGCTAGAGTTGGCCAAAGTGCTCTTCTATAGTCTCTAGGTCACCCTACCCACGCGAACACGCACCCTGAGAATACGTTTTCCTACCATAGTCACGAATTTTGAAGTTGGGGCCGTCGCAACCTGATAAGGAATAGAGGGCAACTTTTGACCTATCACTCTCGCGCTGTTAAGCAGGCTATCGCCTAAATTTGAATTGTTCCCAGGTTTGGAGGCCGTAGAAATGGCAGCAACATTAGAGGATTCAATCAACGCACCGAAGAAGTCCCTAATTCTATCCGAATTCGGCTTAATCGTAGGTCCAGAGGCCGCAGAAACGGCAACAACATTAGATGATTCAAACAGCGTGACAGGAGAAATCCTAGATTTATCCAAATCAACTAATCGAGACGACACACAATCCTTCAACACCTTGCACTGGATCCTCCGCGAACGCAGAGCCAACAAACGTGAACGAAATGCATGTGAGAGGCGGACTGTATGCATACCTCCCTCACCTGGCCAGGGAGGGGGTCGATGGCGCGGTGTTGGGGCAGGCGGGCGTCGAGTCCTTTACTGGCGGCGGCGGGGCAGCTCCACCCCCGGCGGAATGCTGGCAATCCCCTCCACCGACGACGGCCTGATGTTGAGACGAGATGGATTCACCGTCTTGAAGAACGCCCACTTCGCCGCCTGCGCAGGATCTGGCGACTCGGCTTCCTGAATCGCCCAGAAGAGGAGCTCCACATCCATGCATTCTTCGTCGCCGATGAAATGCGCCCGCTCGGAGAAGTTTGCATAGCGAAGGATGTCGAGGTGGATGTCTCCCCATGCCTCCCGATTGGGGAACCGCTCCCTCACCACCCGCCGCATCTCCCGTCGAGCCTCCGGTGAGTTGGGGTCGATCTCGGGGAGGGAAGCCGCCCCCGGAGATGGGAGCGCCCGCGGCTCCGCCACCCGAGTTGTCGGCGCAAGCCGACGGATCCGCAACACACGATGGCGCGCCCCCGCCATGAGAGCTGGTAGGTGGAAGCTGGGGGTGGGGAGAGCTCGAATGGATGCGGGGTAGGTGAGGAGGGCGAGTAGATTGGGGATTTATTCTCGCTTCGTTCCCGTCGCCCGAGGAAGGGAAACGCGGAGGGTGGGAGCAACACGCCATCCGTCAAGTACAATCTTAAAAAAGAACTGGACGACAAATTGTATAGGCAGTATTCCAGAATCTTGATTCTGGATAATCCTGCAAAAAAAAAGAGAGAAGTAGGCCTTTTTTTTTGAAACATAAGATAAATTGATTCCTCAAACAATAGCCACATCGTTTGCAATTTGTGGAAGAATAAAGTCAGGAGCAAAAGAATCCCAGAATTCAGGCACACTAGATCTAAAGCAGTGTTTTGCCAAATAATCCGCAATAAGATTAGCTTCCCTACAGCATTTGGTTCATGGCCATGGTACACATCTAGCTACTTTAGCATGTACAGTAGATAGTCTTTCCCTACCCATTTAAGTCAACTTAAATCTTATGAAAATCTAAAAATATGGTGTATGTGAGATATATGTCGGACACGATTGTATTGAACCACTAGAACATTTATGCCTCGGTTGCAACACATGAAAAATTAGCTAGTATAGCAGGGTAAATGGGTAATTACTCCGGCAACCGAAATCCCCCAAAAAAAAAGAAGGAAAAGGGAAAGAAAAAAGAGACGCGGGAGTCAAGTCAACTTTGTTTATTCATCACTGGTGAGTAGTTGGGCGTCATGCATCCACGGGTTTATCCACATCGCCAGCATCTGGGTTAGTGGTTGTCGCAGCCCCCAAGAGTAGTGCTCGCTCCAGCCGCTGCTAGCCAACGTCGCCACGCCGTCGCAACCTGCCGCCGCATCGCCGCTCTGGACGGGCTGAGGCCTGAGGGTGTTGAGCGGGAAGACCCCTCCCCTGCTGCCCCTCGGCTCTTCCCAGCAGGTCGCCTCCTTGACGACACCCTCTGCTATGCACCACTAACGAGCGCACGGCAGCGACCACGGGAAGCGCGGCAGAACGGAGGGCAGAGCTTCGGAGATACACCGGGAAACCTGGTTAGTTGCCGCTTGCGATTCATTTTCTTTTCTTTCAAAATCGACGAATCGTGGTGCGAATCCTCACCCGAGATCCGTGAATCGGGTGTGAACCCCTTCCGAACCCAGATCTAGTTCGGGATTCGAAGCGCATTCTACTGTATCCGGTAGCTATATTATATGACCCTAACAATGGAGATGATACATGGCTATGGCCCTGTTTGGTTCAGCTCAGAATCTGAACCAAAGGACAAACCCAGCAAAATACAATTCTAGAAATCCGCTGTCAAGATCTGAACCAAAAGCGGAAGCACCCCAGGACGTGCTTTCCAAAATCTGATTCCGCTGCGGACCAAAATCTAAAAAAGATGTATCAGCTGGTTTGCCAAATGACCTACATCTTTTTCACGTCAGATTTTTCACAACTGATTTTAGAAATCCACAGCCTAACCAAACAGGGCCTATGTACTACTTCCTCCGTTCCTAAATATAAGTCTTTGTAGATATTTCACTATGGACTACATACGAAGCAAAATGAGTCAATCTACACTCTAAAATGCATCTATATACATCCGTACGTTTTTCATAGTGGAATCTTTACAAAGACTTATATTTAGAAACGGAGGGAGTACTATTAATTGCGAATGTTAACTAAGCATAATCTCTTGTCTTGTATACGCTGCAAGATTATCTCTGTGTCAGAAAAAAGAAGATTATCGGTCGCGTCTCGAATAAGCCTGGATGGGAGAAAACAGCAGCAGGGACATTACACTCCAGTTGCTTGAAGCTATTACAAACAACTTTTCAGAGGATCGGAAAGTTGGCAGTGGCGAGTATGGAGATGTTTACCGGGTATGACTAATTCTCTAATTAATAATAACACTGCTGGATACAAGCTCGGTTGCGTATGCTAACGGATGATTTTTACAGGGGGTGCTTGATGGGGAAGATATTGCTGTGAAGAAGCTTCATTTCTTGGAAGGAACTGATGATAGGCAATTTCACTATGAACTCCGTAACCTTATCAAGGTCTCTCACAAAAATGTTGTACGCTTAATTGGCTACTGCTACGAATCACGGCATAAATACATGGAGCACAATGGGGAACCTGTTTTGGCCAAAAGAATGGAGCGAGTTCTCTGCTCTGAATACATGCATGGCGGGAGCCTCGACAAACATATTGCAGGTATGTACATACAAAACAAACAATTCAGCAGTTTTATATGTCTAACAAATACGCCCTTAATTTGTTTCCTTCTAATTGCAGATGAATCTTGTGGACTTGATTGGCCCACATGTTACGAAATCATTAAAGGGACATGTGAGGGCTTAAATCACCTTCACACCTCATGGGATAAGCCTATATTTCATCTGGATTTGAAAGCTTCTAATATATTGCTGGATAATAGCATGAAGCCAAAAATTTCAGATATTGGTTTGTTCAAACTTGTTTCTTCGACAAAAACGGGTATAAAAGAGATATTCACACGAAGACAGTCGATGTATGTTATAAGTCCACAATTTATCATGATATTGCTTTAAATAGATTTTTTATTACACTAATTGTATATATATGTTATGCTGATGACATCATGTAGATGGTACATGCCACCGGAATACATAGACATGGGCTTTATATCAAAGAAGTTTGATGTGTTCAGTTTGGGTATCATAATTATAAAAGTGATGGCCGGAAATCTGGGCTACTCTAATTGTGGGATAATGTCTCCCAAGGAGTTCATTAAGCTTGTAAGAAAGAAATCATCATCACCCTACCATGAACATTCATAGGTCTTTTTCACATTTTATGTGTTCATTTATTTTTTGCATGTAGTTTATCTGCTATCTTTCTATGGAAGTTTATGTTCTAATTTCACATGTAGGTAAGTGAAAACTGGATGAAGAGGTTGCATGCAATGCCGGGGTACTATTCATCACACGAAATAGACATCCTAAGAGTGATTACATGTGTTGAGATTGCATTAAGATGTGTGCACAAGGACCGGAATGAAAGACCCTCCATAAAAGATATTGTCCATGAACTGGAAGAACTAGAAGCTGAGATTGACAGAATAATGTTACTACCGCCTGATCGTAGGCAGACCCTCTTGTTTAACCAAGGCCCTGGCCCGGAGTTTCCAAAAATTAACAGCCTATGTATGGCCTGCAACTTGGCCCAGTACAAAATTATCCTGGATTTTAAACTCAGTTTAATTGAAGCTATTACAAATGGTTTTTCAGATGATCAGAAAATTTGTAGTGATCGGTATGGAGATGTTTACTGGGTATGTGTGATTAATTATTATATTTCCTACCTCTAGTTGGCAAATTAATAATACCGCCATAGGCTACAATCTAGCCCATTGTGCTAATAAGTGGTTTAACAGGCAATGCATAATGGGGAAGAGATTGTTGTGAAGAGGCTTCATTCGTTGCAAGGACTTGATGACAACGGATTTTTGGATGAAATGTATAACCTTACCAAGGTTCATCACAAAAATATTGGACGATTAATCGGCTACTGCTATGAACCCTGCCTTGTAAACATTGAGCACAATGAAGAACTTGTTTCGGCAAGGACAATTGAGCGAATTCTCTGCTTTGAATATATGCGGGGGGAAAGCCTCGATAAACATATTGCAGGTAAAATATTATGATCAACAATTGTCTCTATATGTGCTAGTTTGCATGCCAAAGATAAATTATTCCCAGGCATACGACACTTATCCCTTTCTTTCCCCTAATTTGCAGATGAACCTTGTGGACTTGATTGGCCCATACTTTACAAAATTATTAAAGGGACCTGTGAGGGCTTAAATCACCTTCTTAGTGCACAGGAAAAACCTATTCTCCATCTAGACTTAACACCTGGTAATATATTTCTGGTTAAGGGCAAGACGCCTAAAATTGTAGGTTTTGGTTTGTGGAGACTTATTGACTCAACAAAAATGCACCAAACAAAGATTTTCAAAGAAACACAGTAAGTTGATGGATCATGTTATGAGAAATTTGTTTTTAGAAAACTTTTAAACAAAGTTTTTGTATTGCACTAAGCCACTAAGTGTATATATCTGTGATGCTTATGATATCTGCAGCGGGTACATGCCACCGGAATATGTAGACATTGGCTTTATATCAAACAAGTACGACGTGTTTAGTTTGGGCGTTATAATTATAAAAATGATGGCTGGAAATATGGGCTATTCTCGTTGTTTCAAAATGTCTCCCAAAGAGTTCATTGAGCTTGTAAGGAAAAACTCATTATCTATCTACCATGAGCACCACATTTTTTGTGCTTATTAGTTTTTAGCGCAGTCTTTGCGCTATCTTCTAGGGGACTTTATGTTCTGATTTCTCATGCAGTTAAGTGAAAGCTGGACTAAAAGGTTGCATGCAAAGCCAGGGTATTCACCATACGAAATAGACATCCTACGAGTGAGTACATGTGTTGAGGTTGCACTAAGATGTCTGGACGCCGACCGAGAAAAAAGGCCCTGCGTAGAAGATATTGTCCATGAACTGGGGGAACTAGAAGCTAGGATTAAGACAATAATGTTACTACCTTATGATCATAGGAAGAAGCTCTTGCCTAACCTGGGCCTTGGCCAGTACTCTGCAAAAAGTACCAGGATATATATGTCCCATAAGTTGGCCCATGATGGAGCAGTTGCCGCATATAAATCTGATTGGTCCAGGCTTGATTCTCAGTCAGACCCCACTGGTACTGCTCATGGTCAGTCGAAAGACCTAAGTATCCAGGTATATACATCTATGGAGACCGGTGCAGATTATAATTACTATATATCTTACTTTGTACCGATTTATTCCAGTCTTAATTGTTTACTTAGTGTGCTATTACTAGTTATGGAAATCGTGGTGAACGACCCTACATGCTGTTGGTGGCCTAGAGGCTGGCATAGCCCTGTGATTCGCACAAATGAACCATCAATTTGGCAGAACACATTGAATCTTGTAGTTGTTTGCTTATATGCCTCACAACAGAACATAAGTTTGGCTTATTTTCCATTACAGTTAACGTCCCGTTAAATTGAAATAAAATTAGGTAAGAAATGTCTGTTTCTGTATTTTTTCCTCGAGTATGAGCATATGGAGCGTGCTTGTACATAACTTTCCTTACGTTTAACGCATTACAGTTTTACGCAAGCAGAGTAGGTATGTTTTCAGAGAAGCACCAGTCATATATTCTTTGTTGGATAGAAATATTAAAGTTAACTCAGAAGTGCTAATAAAAACGTTATAACAGCAACCCCTCAATAACCAATGGGCTCTTTATGCAGGCGGAGTCTACTCCATACCATGTGACCTTACAACATTTGAGAGACATTACTGACAACTTCTGTGATAAACGAATACTTGGTAGAGGTGGTTTTTATGTGGTATATAAGGTAATCTTAAAGCATATATGTTTTAATTTTCACAAAATAAAGAATATCACAAGTTCTCGAAAAACATAAACCATATACATATTACTTTAAACAGGGAGTGCTACCAAGCGGGAAAATGGTTGCGGTGAAGAAACTTAGGCAGCCAACAGTGAGCTCACAGGCGGAATTTGAGGAGGAGGTTAATATCCTTGTGAAGCTAAATCACCCAAATATTGTCAAGCTAGTAGGATACTGCTATGAAACACAACATCTACTCATGTCTCACGAAGGAAAATCAGTCTTTGCCGAGGAGACTCAAACTTTGTTTTGTTTGGAATGTCTACCCAACGGAAGTCTTGATAAGTATATTTCAGGTATGATATTCTACTATGGAACAACAATTGTTTCTCTACTTCTCATCTTTCCTTGATATTGCAGTTGTCATATTTTAACCATTTTCGTTAAAACTGTGTCCTCATGAAAGAAAAAGGAGTATATGCAATAAAGTTTTGAAGTCCTTGTACCTAGAGAGAATAGCAGAGACAAGAATTATAGACTCCTTTTGTTTATAAACGCAGAGGCATCTACTGGACTTGATTGGCACATGCGTTGCAAAATAATTGAGGGGGTTTCCTATGGTCTACAGTACCTTCATGAGCAATCTAAAGATCCCATTCTTCACTTGGACTTAAAACCTGCGAACATATTGCTCAATAAAATGATGCTGCCGAAAATTACAGACTTTGGTCTGTCAAGGCTGTTTGATCAAAGCCGAACTATTCAGACTGTAAATACAAGTGGAACACTGTAAGTGAATCACCTCTTGATAATCCGTTGCCTTTTAGTGGAATGTGTTCCCCTTATCCTTCACTTCACGTTTCAAATTCACCCAATAATGTTACAATGCAGAGGTTACATGCCGCCAGAATACCTGCGAGGTATAATCACACCTATGTCAGACATATTCAGTTTGGATGTAATAATCTTGGAGGTAATAACAGGGCACAGGGACTACCCATATGATATTAGAGCATCTTCCAAGGACTTCATCGAGCTCGTAAGAAAAATCAGTTGAACTTTGAAGATGGAGTCCCGTTTTGCACTATCTCACATTTTACCATTGTACATTTCACAGGAGCTTAAAAAATGGAGAAATAGGCTGCAAAAAGAACCACGGTCTAGATCGCTAGAAATAGATTGCGAACAAATAAAAAGATGCATTCAGATAGGTTTAATCTGCGTGAATCCTGAGCGGACCAAAAGACCTACAATGAAGAAAATTATTGATATGCTTGAAGGCTTGGAAAGTATGGATTGGTACATTAAAAATCAGGTAGCACTGCACTTGTAACCAAAGTATGATAACATCAAGTTATTGTGTCTCGTGACTCATATAATCTATTTAGTCTCCTGTTTTTTTAGCGTATCTATTTATTTTCCTTTCGGCGAGAGCCCAAAACATCACATTTCAATATTTGTAACTAGAAAGTGAATAATGTCACAACTAGCTTCAAAATACTGGTTTATATTCGAAGTAATAACCTAGTCTACATGAATAAGCTATGTGCTTAATGCATAACCTGTATGACACTTTGTAACTTTAATTCTTTTTGAATTCAAATTTTTTTTAGTCTATTGTAACTAGGATGCTCAGTAGAGTTACACTTCCTAGTTTGCATCTTACCTTCTGAATAAAAGCTACTCCCTCCATCCAAACAACAATTAACCAGCAGTCTGGTCCATTCCAGTTATCAAGCGATGACATCCAGCCAGAACTTTAGCTCAACATAGGAGGTCATCACATATGCATTGCTTCCGATCTTCCTGGTATGCCACTTTAAAGAGTGTCAGACTGTGTTTAACAATTCTATAATGTAACTGACTGAGAGATGCATATCTAATATAAGTTGGCTTCAATTGTTCGTTTATAAGTTGGCTTCAATTGTTCGTTACACAGGGCTCTGGATCTTCGTGGTGCTACCTTCAATTGGCGTTCATGTTCGACGCGACTGGCTCTGCAAGCTACTCCCTCCGATCCCAAATAAGTGTCCATGCCACATATTTTGGATCGAAGGGAGTATTAATTTGTCTATTGTACACACGTAGTTCTAGCTAGTGCATATATATCACATATCTAAATTTTTGCTAATTCCTGGAGACATATGCAGTTCTACTTACGGACATGGTTGTCAAAGGCATCAAAGTCTTTCGGAGTTGGAACAAGAAATTACTCCCTCCGTTCCAAAATAGATGACTCAACTTTGTACTGAAGTTAGTACAAAAAGTTGAGTTATCTATTTTGGAACGGAGGGAGTAGTAGTCAAGGGCACTCGTCTGCCATTTTCTATATATTCTTGTTTGAGTGCTATCTGTTGCCGGTGTTGCACATAAGAGCGGTTAATCTAATACCTTTGGTATATGCATAGTCTGTAAGTAACAAACATTTTATCTCGCTAGAAATAATTGCTGCACTGAATCAAAAAACCCATCTGCTACGTCCCCTAGCTAGATGTTCTAGCCCATCAGACCTGAACCTGGGTTGCTGCCGTGTGGGTGCTCGCGGATCTTTTGTGAACGTCTAGGGGACGTAGCAGATGGGTTTTGTTGCCAGTGATCATGGCGGATTTTATTTTCGGACGGGCTGTCGCTGCTCGCGGCTCTTTTGTGAACGTCTGTAACACTGAGCATGCTGAAGCCTGTGTGGTAAGGTATATGCTGTACTTTTAGCGAAATATTCAGGATTTGACAGGGTCATCTTAGCTTCAGATTGTCTTTCTTCTTTGGTTAACAAGCTGAACTCGTCATTGTGCAACTCCATGCCATCAAATATCGGCTATCGCCCAGTCTGCAATACATGATGCCAGCCTTGTGTGCGTTAGTAAGGCGCTGGAGCTGTTCCGTGTCCTCCTCTCTACCGAACAAGCTTTGTTGCATCAATAGAACGCTGGTGATTATATGAGCAAAATTCTGTTTAATTCAAACTCTTCAGAATTGGAGTTACCGAGATTCCTTCGATTCTAGCCTCTGCTCTAATTCCACGCAAACAAACAACAAATTCATCTTGATGCCAAACCGTTTTTCATCTTTCAAGAGCTGGCAAATGTATACCAGCAGAGAGGGTTTGAGCTTTCATCACTCATGTTCTATCTGTGCAGATTTTTTTTTTGGCATAAAAATGCTCCTGACTATATTTAATTAAATAGCTGGGAAAGTCAATTCGTTCGTAATGGATTTGTAGGCTGTAGCACCAGGACTCGTAACTTCTTTTGGGGAAATGACCTGAATTTATTTTACTGAAAAAATAAACAAATTACGCTGGACTGAAGAAATTGAACCATACACGGACAAGAAAGGCCTCTCATATAACCTCAAATTTCTTCAAACATTGGTTGCCACAGACAAAAAAAGGCCCTGGTTTACAGTTAATTTTAGATTGTCTGGTTTGGTTTTGGTTCTGAACATGACAGCGTCAGTAGCTTTCCTAATACATTTTCTCTGGCCACCCACTGGTGCCTCCTACCGACCAATGGCGTTCTCAACAGGGGGCGCACACTGTCATCAGCCTGCTCCTCCTCATCTTCCAGGTGCTGCGTTAAACAGACATCAGGGGATTAGAGCATCTAAGCAACATAGCATCCCATTAATTAAGAACTGCTCCTAATAATCTGCAGGCGGCACTTGCTAATGATGGTGCTGAAGAGACCCTGCGTCTTGCCCGGCCAAAGAAGCCTCCATCGCTACAGGAAAAGCAATACACAAAACAGAGCGTCGGTTGGATGCTTGATAGCCTTGCGCGTAAAAAAATTACTACATTATTTCAGATGTTCCAGATAGCCCACCAAACAGCAGTAACCCCAAACCAAATATAACCGATGCTCCCACTCCTCTCATATTTCACCCAAGTAATCATATCTTGAG